TTCCAATAGATCTTGGTCCTCAGAACGGAGGGATCTCTGGGGTTGGTAGGGGGTGAGGCGGTCCCTCAGGTACATCCCAGACCATGCAAGGCCTTAAAGGTGAGTACCATCACTTTGAAAGTGATCCGGTGCTCAATTGGTAACCAATGCAGCTGTAGTAAGATTGGTGTTATGTGGCATCTCATCGGAATTCCTGCAAGAAGCCAAGCAGCTGCATTTTGTACCAACTTGAGCTTCCGGATCACCGACAGAGGAAGGCCAATGTAGAGGGCATTACAGTAGTCCAGTCTTGAGATGACCATGGCCTGGATCACCGTAGCTAGGTCGTCCCTGGACAGATAGGTGCCCAGCCGTCTAGCCTACTGCAGATGAAAGAAGGCGGTACTGCTAACGGCAGAGACCTGGGCCTCCATCGTCAGCAGAGGATCCAAAAGGACTCCCAGACTCTTTACCAATGATGACGGGTGTAGCGCCTCGCCATCCAGGGTAGGCAGCTGGATATCCCCACTGCCCGGTTGACCCAGCCATAGGATCTCCGTCTTTGCTGGATTCACCCTCAACCTGCTGGCATGCAGCCATCCAGTAATGGCCTGGAGGCACTGATGGAAATAATCGGGTACAGAGTCCGGTCGGCCTTCCATCTTCAGCACCAGCTGAGTGTCATCAGCGTACTGATAACACTCAAGACCAAAACCTCGAACCAGCTGAGCAAGTGGTTGCATATAGATGTTAAACAACAGAGGGGAGAGAATGGCCCCCTGAGGAACCCCACAAGATAGAGGGGACCTCTCAGAGACCAGGCCTCCCCTCTCCACTCGCTGTCCACGGTTGTGAAGAAAGGAGGACAGCCAATTTAAGCTGTCCCCCTGACTCCAACAGCAGCAAGGCTGTGGGTCAAAAGATTGTGGTCAACTGTGTCAAATGCTGCTGTGAGATCCAATAACACAAGCAGCGCTGACCCGTCCTGGTCAAGCTGGAATCGAAGATGATCCGTGATGGAGACCAGCACGGTCTCTGTCCCGTGCCCCGCACAGAAGCCAAACTGGAAGGGATCTAGTCTGGCTGTGTCGTCTAGGAATTGCTGCAACTCCTCCGCTGCTGCCCTCTCAATCACCTTGCCCAGGAACGAGAAATTCGAAACTGGGCGGTAACTGGAGGGAACCGAACAATCTAAGTCTGGTTTCTTCAGCAGGGGAGAGACCACCGCCTCTTTTAAACCCTCTGGAAAAACTCCTTGCTCAAGGGAGCTGTTTATAATCTTCAACAGAGGGTCACCTAATACCTCCAAGCAGGATTTCACCAACCAAGAGGGACATGGATCGAGGGAGCAAGTGGTCGGTCTAGCTGCAGCTATGAGCCTATCGACAGCCCCTGCATCCAGCGGGATGAACCGGTTGAGGATGGGCCAAGTAAGTGGCCAGGGAGTCTCAAGTTCTCTCACTGTATCAATTGTGGCAGGGAGGTCCCGGCGAAGTAGCGAGATCTTATCTGCAAAATAGCTCTGAAAAACCTCGGCTGAAGAGGCCCGATCACCACTTTTTGGGATGGTAAGAACCATCATTAGAGATCGAATTATTTTGAACAATTTTGCCGGGCGTGAGCTAGCAGGCGCTATCAAAGAAGCATAATATACTCACTTTGCCTCAGTGATAGCATGCTCATAGGACTCCCTAAATGCCTCATAAGCCGATCTCGATGCTCTGTCACGGAGTTCTCGTCACACGCCCTCTAGCCGTCTCTTTTCCCGCTTCATCAGTTGAAGTTCCTTGGTGAACCAAGGAGACCGATTTCGGTGGGGTCAGAGAGGGCGTCTAGGGGCGATCTCGTCGAGTGCACTTGATAGCCTTAAGGTTAATGTGTCCACCTGCACATCGATCGAGTCGCTGGCAGGCTCCAGATCTCTCTTAACATTCCGGAAGCTACTGGGTTCCATAAGTCTCCTTGGGCGAGCCCAAATTGGCTCAGCGCCCTTGCAGGGTGGGTAAGCATGCTCCAACCGGACTCTCAGGGTGCGGTGATCTGACCATGGAACCTCTATTGTGGAGGCTTGGGTCACTTGAATTCCTGCGCTGAAAATCAAATCTAGCGTGTGTCCTGCCTGATGCGTGGGCCCAGTACTACAAAGTGAGAGTCCTAGTGTCTCCATGGTAGACACTAGGTCCATAGCCGCTAATGAACAAGAGTCTGCATCAGCGTGGACATTGAAATCCCAGGACGATAAGTCTGGCGAACCTCAAGGACCACTCCGACACAGTCTCAAGCAGCTGGGATAGGTTGTCTGATGATGATGACTGTATGCAAATGCAATGAAATATCTTTGAGAAATATATCCTCCCATCTATTTCAGAGGTGGGCAAAGTGTGGCTTTGCAGGTATTATTAGACTGTAAAACCACTCATCATAGGTTATATTGGTTTGGGCTAATGTTTTGCCACAGTAGACATTGTTGGACTATATTACTATTTACAGTATTAGTCATGGTTGTAGTCCAACAACATATGGAGCATTGCATTTTGGACACAGCTGCTCTACTCCCATCTTACTTGATGGGCATACTGATAATGATCTAGAAAATAACCCTTTTGCCATAAATAGGCTATTGGGTTGTCTTCCTACACATGCGTTGACAATGACTATCTTCACCACAATATTCCAAGTTCTCTAAAGCTGATTTTTCAAGATTGTCTAAAACAAAATGAAAGCAAGTATGAAAGAAAGATGGAAAGGGAATGCTCTGTGGAGTAAAAATGATCTAACTGAGTCACTCCAGTCCAGCACCTGATGGACAGCATCCGGACTGCCAGGATCTGGACTGCCTTGAACATAACAGACATGTTAAAAATAAAACCTGATTTTTCAAGATTGAATGCTAGAATATAAATGCCATGAAAGAGGGAATCATGCATTTCTCTGAATTTATGTGCATCTTTACAGATGTTGCTGGAGCAGTGTGGAAATGAATACAGCCACAGGAAAATAGCAGCCATGTCACTATGGTAACATACACATTGGCACTTAGAAATGGGACATTCTGCTTTTATTTATGCCCCCTCCCCACTCATCAGCAGTAACTAGTACTGTAATTTCATTTAAAACATTGCATTACAATTTTCCACATTTCTCTTTTAATGGCCTAATCATACAAACTTTGAATGATACAGAATTATACACTCAGCCATTCCTTTAATTTTTTTCTGAATTTAAATTCTTAAAATACTTCATAAACAGATGCAACCAGCACTTTGATACGTCTGCCTAGACTCTCTTGAGCCTGAGAAGCTCATTAAACTAATTAGATACCCAATTTCAGGAGCTGATGTAGCTCTTTACCTCTGATACAAAAACCAAACCCTTACATCCATTTATGAATTTATATGAGATGTTACATTTAAAAATCAAGAAATGAAAACAGAAAGCATATAAGCAGAATAATATCTGTTCATATAGTGCTGTGTTTTGTGGTACCTAAAACAAATTTGAGATCTCATAGAAGTTTGGAATGGAGAAGACACAATGAAACTGATCGCCTCCTCTCTTCTTTTTTTCTCAAGGAAAAGAAATATTACTTCTCTAACAAACCTATAACCTTGTTTATTAACATCACCTCTGCATAAACAGACCAATTTGGTGGGCATGTTTTGTTCAGACCAATATCCAGTATTTAAGTCAGAGAAAGCCATCTCACCCTTTCATTTCTGATTCATTCATTCATTTTGTCTTAACCAATAGCATGTGACTTTTACGGCAGTCCTTTAGAGATTTTTTAACTGCGGATCTGCTTAAAGTATTCACTTGTTGCTGTGTTTTTTCAAGTCATATCTAAACGGAACCTATTATGATGTTTGTTTGGCAAGATTTGTGCAGAGAGATTTGTCATTACCTTCTTGAGGCTGATAGGGTGTGACTTGCCCAAGGTCATCTAGTGGGTTTCCATCTAGTGGGTTTCCATGGCCAGCCCTGGTCTTTCAAACCATTTTAAATAATGCAGTATCCATCTATGGTCAAGATTGCATGCACTGTTCTATAGGGCTCATGTAAAAATGGCAACCATAAAAGGTCTCTAAGCACCACTCATTTACACAAATCTGTTAGCAACAATGTGCAGTGTTTACAGTGCACTCTAGAAAATGCTTCAGCTGTACTACACAAAAAAGGAAAATCTGCCTGTTTAACAAGCCTTTCATATACTGATTTATTATCATAATGTTTGGCTTTTACACATATTTTATATACCTATGTACCTGGAGTCATGTGAAAATGTATTGGATTCAAAAAGTCACCATGAAAAAGCTTATCAAGCTCTGCTCTAGTGAAAACACATAACCATGTGTATCATATGCTAAGATATGCCAAAGTGAAAATAAGCTCAGTAGCCTTGTAGTTGATAGTATTCTTCCTTATAGAGTTTCTTTAGTATTGGAATCTTTTGTACTGGCAAGTAAATAAATAAATAAGTTTCCATCCCTACCTCAACTGAACTGCCCAACATGCAAATCTCTGTGGTACATCATTACTTCATTGTTCATTATCTCTCCAGTTTTTACCACTAGTGCAGCTTAGTGATTGGGTGGTTAAATTACTTTAAGGGTTCATCTATACTGTAGAATTAATGCAATTTGACATCACTGTAACCGCCAGAGCTCAATGCAATGTTTTGGAATCGTGAGAGTTGTATAAGGTCTTTAGCCTTTTGTGCCAAAGAGTGCTGGTAACTCATCAAACTACAATCCCTAGAATTCCATAGCATTGAATCATGGCAGTTAAACTGCATTAAGTCTACAGTGTAGATCCACTCAAATATTTCCTCTAAATGTTAAAGGTTTTATCCAAGAGGCAGAAGACAATCCTTGTTTAGTGGTTGCTTTGCTTTGTACTAACATTAATAATTACAGTCTTATTCTAAATGCTTGTTTGGATTTTTTTTTAATTGAAGGGTTCCAGAACATTTGCAATTGCACAATTAGCAATTCTAATTTTGTGGGATAATTAATAACTTGTACCTTTATATATTCCATTACAGCCACCATGGACTTCTCCACTGCTTGCAATTTCTTCAATATGTGCCCCTTGATCGGAGGTAAAGTACACAAGTGTCTGCATGCTTAGGCTCAATTGATCTAAAGTCTGAAGAATTTGTCCTTTAGAAACAAAAGGAAACAGAATGAAAATAATGCAGTCTTTCAGTTCAGTATACATGATAAATATCTTGAGCAGCTGCTTTACCATAAAAATACTATCATTTAGATCAACTTCACACTAAGCAGAACACCTGGGCAAGATGTTTTGTTTAATATGAAAAACATCCCCGATTCCAGGTATATTCTAAGATTCAAAATAGGACATGTGCATCCAAGGGATTCCATACTTTCAAAATGATTGCTTTTGAGCAATTAATCTCTTGACAAAGATTTTTCCATATGATTAGTACAAAATTGTGTATTGCTAAATTGTTTGTAGATCCACTATAAAAGCAGAATCCAATTATATCTATATAGATATTTACTAGAGAGAGCTATTTAGAGAGATACAGATCCAGAGCAGCATAGTGGTTTTAGTGTTGGACTATGACTCTGGAGACCAGTGTACTGCACAAGAACATGAAAAATCACTAGGTGGAATTGGCTCTCGGCACCAGAATACCTTGTAATGAGTTCACAACAGGGTCACCATAAATCAGAAATGACTTCAAAACCACATAATGCTGTACTACTATATAGAGTCTGGGCCACTCTGATTCTATCCCAACTAGGTTCGGGGATACACTGAAGAAAAATTAAGCCACTAATACTTTGAAGAATGAATAACAGTAACAGAAGTTCTCACATGTTCCTTCAGAAGAAAGTATATTTAGCTGATATATGTCTGCTCTCCAGATATATGTGAGATATATGCTCCTTGGTTACTAGATCTCCTAGAAGTGCAGTCTCTTTAACTTTATGACGGAGTCTTTTCACATACACATAAACACACATCCAAGCCATTTTGCCAGCAAGCATGGAGGAACGACAGGCATGCGGAGCAACTCTGTTGCCCCATACACTGCTTCGGTATGGTGACACTTCCATTATTGTATGGGAGGGGGGCCTCCTCCAGAAGTTGAAGGATGTTGTGTGATGGGCTGCGTGCCCATCCATCCCTCAACTAGCTGGCAAGCATCCTAGGATGCTTAAATTGGTAAGAGCAATGAGGTCCTAAGACAAAGGAATACTCAAACATTGGGAGGGCAGGTAGTTGTATATGCCACTAGAGGCTGCTTTTTGAGAGTCACAGTGAAGCGCATGCTTTCTTCTGATCACTGTAATCAGAAGAAAGAAGGGTTCTTGTGTTGATGTGAATTGGGGAGTAGACTTATTAATAGAAGGACTCATTAGCCAGCCACACACTAGTTGCAAAAACGTGCACTATCTTACACAATATATTTTTGGGATCCTACAAGAAGTTATATGAAACTCAGAAAGAAAGAAAGATTAATTTATGGCGTATACCCTCCAACATTTCATAATGGAAAACCAAAACATGAGTTGGCAAGCAATATCAAAAGTTAATGGTAGCAAAAGCTAATAATGGGGAAGAATAAATACACCAGGAGAGGCTGCAGTAGTTTGCTTTTTTTTAGCCTACTGGGAAAAGAAAGATTTTGCCTGCTTTTCTCCCCCCCCCCCCCAAGAGTATAAGCTACTCTTGCATATTGATCTCAATTTGCAACCACATAGTCAACTATGGGGAAACTGGGAAGAAAAACACAAAATGGGCAAATATCACACTCCAAGTCCCAGCATGGGAGGAAGGTGGAATATCAATAAAATGAGGTACTTTTGTCCTTTGAAGTCAGTTCGTACCAATTGAATTAAACTGAGGTCAAAGTGGGAAGAAGAGAGAGAGCATTTTTCAAGCAGCTGAAATAATGGGACAACAGAGGATTAACTGAGACTATCCTAGCTAAATTGGGACAGCAGGAGGGGATTTAGGCCTTCAAATCATGAAAAAAATAAAAGACAAATTAGAAGACCAAGTTCATTTCTCTCCCAGGTTTTCAAAACAGAACCAAGTACAGGGAGAGTACTAGAAAAATGCCCAAAGAGGACAATCCTTAAAACTGAACTTATCTGGTATCACAAGATAAATCTCATGGCTGAAATCATTAGATACAGAAGAAAAAGAAACTTTGTAATCAGTTACCAAAATCCAATATTTAGCTCATCTAGATTAAATCCACACAATCACTGAAACATACATAAGTGTACCTTTAGTATATTTGCATTGATTTAGTGGGTTTAGTTTGAATTAACAAATGAATTGAGTCAATGTCTGCATGATGGAGCCTAGGAAAATGTTTCATCAATAACTGTTTAAAAATAATAATTAAACCTTGACTCTGAGATAGAAATTCTCCTGAGGCATAGTTGTATTTTTAATAGTTGAATGAGTATTTGAACTTAGGTTCAAAGCCACCTTCCCAGACACTGCAGCCCAGATCATGATTAGGAAATAAAGATGATTTGTTACAGAGAGGCCATCCCTTTCAGGTTTCTGTTCTTTCCACTGTATATCAAAACAGATTGCCATAGATTGCAGTCAAATATATTTATTTCTGGGCCTTTCCTCTAATCTATATTTAACTACACATCCCTTTTTTCTTAATACTTTTCTTAATACTTCTCCTTTTCCATGTCCAGGTATTTAAAATGGGGACGCCTCCATGTTTACTTATGCTTACTGTCGCATTCATGGCTCAAAAAGCATGCATAGCATTTTACACACTAAGTATTACTCACATTGTGGGAGGAAAAGAACAAAAGAAATAGAAGCAATAATTTCAAACACTCAATAAATATTTAATATGGGTCCATAAGTGGGCAGATCAGCTACTCAGAATGGTTTTTCTCTGCACTGGAAAAATTACAGATATTTTGTTCCACCAATGTGCCAAATCAAAAGGGTAAGCTGCATCTGCTGGGGTCCACAGAGGCTTTAGAAGTCTTTCCATTTCTTTGGTGCAAGCCTTGATCTCTGTAATGGCCTGGCCACAACAATCTAAGAATCTAAAAGAATTTGCAGAAATTGAACCAGTATATACAAAAGTAATGAGAAGATGACAATGTGATCATATGCTCAAATTGTCCTCATTTGGAAGGGATAATCTTGATTAATTCTGTTGTTCTAGTTTTTCTAGTTTGTCTCTCTTTTTCCCACCTTGCCACATTTTCTTTATTTTACTTCTATTGGTGCCAAATGAATTAAAAGTAGAGAGAATTCAATGGGAAAGAAGACAGGGATGAAGCAGAATCCCCATAGGAGTCAGTGAATGTAAACGGTGGGGTTGGTTGATCCAAAAAATGGTTCAAAACTTGTTTCAGAAGTAGGGGGCACTGGTGGTTTGATTTGGAAAGGAATTCTGATCTTTTCCCCCCAAAAATTCAAAACTTTCTGAAATTTCTGAATCACTTCGTTAATGGCGGATGCAATAGCGCAATACATGAAAAACAGCAAGTGGCACTGGGCAAACTTCAGGGGGTTCGCTTTCCCTCATTTTTAGACCAATCCTGGCAAAATTTGCCACTGTGACACAAACAACAGGGAGGGACCTTTTTGGCTTTTTGAAGTTGATTTCACACCTTTAGGAAGGAAAATATGTTGACTATATGGGATTTCTTGTGTTTCCTCAGTAGCAACACAAAGCAACTAAGGACACAAACAGCAGGGAGAGGCCTTTTTGAGCTTTTGAAGTTGATTTCACAACTTTAGGAAGGATAAAATTTTGACTTATTGGCAATGCAAGGCAAACTGAGGAAACAAACAGCACCCTCACACCCCAATATTATCCACCCACGCGTTGCCCACCTGTCCCAAACCCCAACAGTAAAAACCCACAAGCGGCTGCAAGGCAGCCCAGGCAGGCAACAGCCCTTCTTCCTGCCCTGGTTCTCTGTTGCCCTGCTCTTCTTTCTCCCCCCCCCCCAACAGCAACAACACATAAGCGGCTGCAAGGCAGGCAGGCAACAGCCCTGCTCTTCCAACCGCCCTTCTTCCAACCTCCCTTCCCTTTCTCTTTCTCTTCCCCTTTCCGGGCTCACAATGAGCCTTTGAGCCACGTGATGCCCTTTATATAGCGCAATGGCTTCCATACCAAAACCCCACCCCACCCCACTCCTCTCCTCCCCACCCCACCCCTCTCCTCCCCAAAACGTCTCCCCTCATTGACTGGGAGGCAAGCATCCCAGCATGCAAGCTGCTTGCCTCCAAATGCTGAGTCACTTCCGACTCACTTCCTGAGTTAGAAAAAAATGGCGACATAAGCTTCAGAAGGGCAAAGGGACTTCTGGTTTTCTTAAAAACTTCAAAACTGCATCAAAAAGGTAATTTTTCCAACTGTATTCTGAATTACAAAGATTCCGATGGTACCTAACCATGCCTAGTAAACAGTTGCAGCCTCTTCTAACTCTCATGTTCTTTGTTAGTAACACTTGCCGTCATATCACATATTGCCATCTCAGTTACATGTGACCCAGTTTGAATGTTGAATGTTGCAAAGTATGTACACTGTAAATAAGTGCAGACATTAAAAACCATGTGTGCATACAAAATATTGTAGTCCCAAAAAGTAATTATCACAAGCTTGCCTCCAAAGTTACCTTGCATCTGATTGTTTATACCACATTTCAAAGTCCACTTTGTTTCATATAAATTAATCCATCACATTTAGCTCAGGCATGAAACTATTTGATGTGAAAACAAACAAAACCAAAATGTTGCAACATTAAATTTATACATTGATTTTACACAGACCAAACTGGCTCTCCTAATTTGTGTGTACTTGTTGGGATTCAGCCTGAGTTTGAACTTGAACCTGATTCTCTGTTTGTTCCTCCTGATGCTAATGAAAGTATATTTACTGATGCTAATGGAAATGTACCTTTTGATGCCAATGCTCCTGAAATTAGTGAGGAAGAAACTGCTGTAGGTTTGGAAAATGCCAATGTTCCTGAAATTAGTGAGGAAGGAACTTCTGTAGATTTGGAAAATGAAAGTACCAGTGTTCATGAGAATGTTTCAGAGGGAGACCTTGAACTTTCCCTCCCTTCTGCACCTGTTAACTGTAATGACAACAGAAGGGGCCAAATTTGGGAAGACAGAAGTA